TGTCATCATTTTAAAGTCATTTGTATTTTCTCCCGCTACTTCATGTATTCCTATTAGTCTTATGTTATTCTTCTTTGCATCATCTAGGAGTTGTTGGATTGACTTCTCATGCTCCTCTACTGTTTTTAAGAGACCTCTGTTTTCATGGTCACTGACTGCAATCTTATCTTCTAGATCTGAGAGTCTATCTTCTCATTCTTTTATTCTGTTGCGTACACTTTCAATGGAGTGTTTAATCTCCTGGATATCTGTTTTGATCTCTTTTATAGATTCCATTTCTTTCCTATGTTGGGCGTTTATTTTTTCCATTTCTTTCTTATGCTGGGCTTTCATGGCTTCTATCATGGTCCTGAGCTCATCTATTTTTTTGTCAGTTTCTGCTCTAGAGTCTCGAACCACAACTTTGATTTTGCTCAACATCTCTATGGTTATCTGGGACATTATTTGTTTTGAATTTTCCTAGAGCCTGATTGATCTGTTTTGTTACTTCCTCTGCTTTGAGTTCAGGGTGTCCTGTTAGTTCACTATCGGCCTCTTCATCCTCATTTGTCCTACTGTTTGTCATTGGTGAACTGGAAGTCTGTCTTTGTGTCTTGTTTAAGTGTTTTCTCATTTTTATTTTTGTTGTCAGGCTGTCCTTGGTTTAATCTCTGGGTTATCACCCCAATCTTCCTGATATAGTTGCGCCCTACCTTCTGAGTGTCTAATGACTCACAGACATTCTCATCTTCATAGCATCAGAGAAAACAGCTCATCAAATAAATCCTTTATCCCACCCTATACCATCGGCAACACATTGTGATTGGAAACTGACCTCCTGTGGTAGTCACTAGTGTATCACCCTTAAACCATTTGAATTAAATTGAAGTCAAGAAGCAGTCCAGAACATGTCTGCAGTGAACAAACTTTCTGATACAGTATATTTACCCTTTAATGGCTCAGACAGAACTAGGACGCAAGACCCCTGATCTCAGTTAGCTGATGGCTGAACCCCATGATGCAGACTGACCTTGGGCTGTAAGGCCCAGATTGAGTTCCCCAATCTTCTGAATGGTTGAATTCCACACCATTCTATTACAGGTTTCCCATGCCCTTTCTTTAAAGATGTTCAAAGTTTGGAACTCAGAAAAATACCCTTTATTACCATCTCTGCCTCTGCAGAGTGGGTCCAAAGACTGGCACAATCAGGAGGTCTGAGAGTGTGTGGGTGGGGGAGCAAGAGGAGTTATGGGGGTTCAGGGGTGCCTGCACAGCTACCTTCTGGGCTCTGGAGCTGTGGCGGCTCTGGGCGGGAGAAGGCGTGGCTCCTATATATTTATTTTTTTAAATTGAGTTTATTGGCACTTTTTAGACATACAGCACAGTTTCATTATTGGGATCTTGTATCTTTACATGACAGGTCTTGGTTCTTATTTTTTTTCCCCTTGTCCCTGCCCTCCCTTCACCCTTCCCCCCTCCCCATTTACAAACACTGTATTTCCATTTTTCATTTTCTCATTTTTTTTCTTTTCCTTCATTCCTTTTCCCCTACCCTTCCCACCTTCCCTACACCTTTAGCCCTTTTCTTCCCATTTCACAATGTCAGTTATCTCATTAGGGGCTTTTGTGATATAGTTTTTCACACCAGAGAAACTATTTGGTATTTCTACATGTGATTTATTTATTTCACTTAGGAGTATATCCTCAATATATATCCATTTTCCTATGAATGACTCTAATTTATCATTCTTTATTGCTGAGTAGTATTCCATTTTATAGAAAAACCACATCTTCTTTATCCAGTTTCCAACTGATGGGCAAATGGGCTGTTTCCAAGTTTTAGCTATTACAAACTTGTCTCTATAAACATAGGTGTGCATATATCACTGTGGTATGATTCTTTTAATTCTTTTGGAAAGATATCCAACAGAGGGATGGCTAGGTCAAATGAAACCTCTAGTCCCAGCTCTTTGAGGTATCTCCATACTGATTTCCATAGTGGTTGCACCAGTCTGGACTCCTACCAACATGGAGAAGTGTTCCTTTCTCCCCACATCTCTGCCAACATTTATTATGGTGTGATTTCTTTCTTTTTTTAAAATTTAATTTACTGGTACATTCTAGGTTTGCTTTCTTGACAGCAGCCATTCTTTGTGGGGTGAGGTGGAATCTCAGTATTGTTTTCATCTGCATCTCTCAAATGACCAGTGATGTGAAACATCACTTGCTGCTTTTACTTCTTTGTCTGAGAAGTGTCTGTTCATTTCAGATGCTCATTTTTGAATTGGGTCTTTATATTTTTGGGGGGCTAACTGTTTTGTGTTCTTTATATATTCTAGATAATAGTCCTTTGTCTTAGGAGCAGCTTGTAAAAATTTTTTCCCACATTGTAGGTTGTCTTTTAGTTCTATTGATTGTTTCTTTTGCAGTGCAGAGATTTTTTTTAATAAGATGAGATCCCAGTTGTTGATTCATTCTGTTAGTTCCTGTGCTACTGAGGATTTGTTCATAAAGTATTTTCCTATGCAAATGTCTTCAAGAGTTCTGCCTACCTTATCCTCCAGCAAGTTTAGTGTTTCCTTTTTAATATTTAGATATTTAATCCACTTGGATTTTAGTTTAGTGCATGGTGAAAAATAAGGGTCTAGTTTTAATCTTTGGAAGGTTGAAATTCAGGCCCGCTGAGTCTTGAAATTTGAGCCTCCAAACTATCTTCTAAATGGACTGCATTTAGAATGCTGGACTCCACCCTGCACAGGTCCAGTGTGTTTAAAAGTGTAAATACCTTTGAAAGACTTTGCTTTGACATGAAGCCTCAGGTGCCCTGTGTAATTGAGGCCATGTAGAGATGTGTATGCCAAGTTAAACCACACAGGAACTCAGAGGGCAGTATTGCCTAGGCCCACGTTGTCTGGCTGCTGTTTGAATTGGTGGCAGACCTTAAAGTAATCCACAGTGGTGCAGATTGTGTAGTCACACATAATGGAAGAGTTGTGGAGTCATTGAAATTTCAGAGAAAGGCCTGGGAGGAGATACAGTGATCCCTTGAGAATGTTATGCATAAAGCTATGAGAATGAAGCCTAAAGTGCAGTGTAGATCCCAGGAAAATGGAGATACCAGGAATGTGGAATGTCTTCGAGGAAAGCCACTGACAATGAACAAAACTTGGCCAAGAGGGCAACATAAATCAAGGCCAGGGGTGGGACTATCAAAGCCCTTTGGTGATCCCACTTCTGCACCACATGCTCTGGATGGTGGGAAATAGAGCTGTAGGATTTACCATGTGCCTTCTTGTGTTTTGATCTTGCCTTGGAAGAATATCAATTTCTCTCTATTTCTTTATTCCTCTCATTTGGAATGAGTTTGTTTAACTTGCGCTATTGTGTATTTGAGGTATTTCACTTCTTTTGAAGTTAAAAGGGTTACTGTGCATGAATTTTCCTTGCATCTCAGAGCAGACTTTGGACATGGAGTTGTAAGCATGCTGGTATTGTTGAAATCCTGACAATTTCTTAAGGTAGACTAAAGAAATTTTGTGCAATGTGATGCACATAAGAATTTTGGATGTCAGGAGAGAAAGTAATTGTTTAGATGTAAAATATCCATGACATGTCTGGTATTTTCAGAAGTAGAGCTTCTAGAAGATGATTGTATTACAGAGGGCCTCATCCCCTCAGTGCATTCCTCCAATGATTAGTTCAGATCTCAGTGTGCTCTTTAGTTGCACATAAACTTTTGAACCACAGTATTAAGTCTAGTCATAGGAACTATCTTGGTTCTCAATACCAACTTTTGATGTCAGTTTTCTGTTGCAGGGAAAATCTCCAGAGAGGAAGCAAGAAGTATTTTATCTTGTGTTTTCAGAGGTTTCAGTGCTGTGTTTTATGGCATGTTGCTTCTGGGCCTGTGGTGAGGCAGAATGTCATTATGGAGAGTATGTGGTGGAGTGAAGTGTCTCTTGTTATGGCAGAGAATGCAGAGTGAAAGATTGAAGAAATGGCTAGGAAAAAAATACCCTTGAAAACATGTTTCACATCACCTATGCTATCCACTTTGATCTCTTTTCCAAGTGTCCATCACTTCCATTAGCATTACCTTAAATGGCTAAAACTCTTCAATACTCGAGTCTATGGGGAATGTTCCTAATCCTAATTATTGCACATCTATTTATCATTGATCTGCATTTTGAAGTTAGAGATGTTATATCACTAGTTATTAATAAATACATGTACCTGAGTGCCTAAATTTGCTCTGTATAGTATAGGGATTTCCAAAGGGTATATTTGTTCATTTAAATTTTACAAATTAAGTTCTCTTATTTTCACAAATATTTATCTATTATTCATTTTTATTTGCAGAAATGCATGTTTCATGATCATCAGATAGTAAAATATTAAATAGTAATTGTAAATAACAAGTAATTTTCTCAAAAGAAGCCGATCGTTGTTTAAGGTAAACACCAGCCAAGTAACAGAGGAGTCCACCTAAAACAAACATAACTTGATAAATAAGCTCTGTTTTAGGAGACTGAATGATTGGCATAAAAACTAGAAAGGCAGATATAGCTAAAGATATAAATATTAATGGCCACCACACCTGAAAGGAAAAAAGAAAACTAAGATTAGTGATAACTCTTTTCTTGGACAAGTTTTTACAAAATGCTTTACAAACCGTAGATAACAAAGGGGAGATAACTGCACATGTATTTTCAAATATATTCAAATAGATGTTCTTAGTTTTACATTATAGGAAACACGATTAGTGCACATTACTGTACAATTGAATAGAATTATACAGTACAATTTCTAAGTAAAGTTCTCTCTTAATGACATCATACCATTAATTTACTAAAATCAGTGAAAATTTTTACTTCCAGCCCTGGAAACCTACATCATTCCCTGTCGTAAATAAGAAATTAACAATATCATTTCAATATTAGCCATTGAAACATTCTTAGTTTGAGTGTTTAGGAAACCAAGCTATTAATTGTTTAATATACTTTCAAGTACAAATTTGTCCTAGTGCAGCAGCATCAATAATAAAACAGAAAATATATTGAGGATATACTCCTAAGTGAAATAAATAAGTCACACATATAAATACTGAATAGTTTCTCTGGTGTGAATAAACTATAGTAGTACATAAGATCCTAATGATATAATGGACAATGTGAAATAGGAAGAAAGGGGCTAAAGGTGTAGGGAAAGTGGGAAGGGTAGGGGAAAGCTAATAAGGGAAAAGAAAAAAATATGAGAAAATGAAAAAATGGAAATGAAGTGCTTTTAAAGGGGGAAGGAAAGAGGGGTTAAGGGAGGGCAGGGACAAAGGGAAAAATGAGAACCAAGTCCTGTCATGTAAAGATACAAGTTCCCAATGATGAATGTAACTGTATTGTATACCTAAAATGTACCAATAAACTCAATTAAAAAAAGATGAGAACACCAGTGTGTTCTTCATTGAATAATACATTCTTCACTCTAATACAAATAACAAAAACTAGTTCTTCTCTCAGAAGATTAGCTTTCAGTTCCAGGTTAGCATCATTTATCTAGCATGATCAAGTAACCCTTGGATAAAGTAACTCTTGAATAAAGCATGGTTAATAAAAGAATTCAGGCCAGCTGTTTGCCTGCCTCTATTCACACCTTTTTACTCTGTTTCTATGCTATTGTCAGGATAATCTTTTCAAAAAAGAGTCTGATATAATTTCTCCTACATATGATGGCTTGGTTGCTTAAAAAATCAACCAATAACAAATACTGGGCTGGTTGTGGGGAAAAAAGTAACCCTTCTCCACTTTTGGTGGGAGTGTAGACTGGTGCAACCATTGTGGAAATAATTATGGAGACAACCTCAAAAAACTAGAATTAGAGGTCCCATTTGACCTAGATATTCCCTTGCTGTGTATCTTCACAAAAGAATTAAAAGAATCATACAAAGTGATATATGTGCACCCATGTTCATAGCACAGTTTGTAATAGCTAAAACTTGGATACACCCCAAATGTCCATTAACTGGAGACTGAATGAAGAAAATGTGTTTTTCAAAAAATAAAATGGAGTACTACTCAACCATAAAGAATGAGAAATTAGAGACATTTATAGCTAAATAGATGCACAGTGAAGTCATACTCTTCAATAAGTAGGACATGTGTAAATACTGAATAATTTCTCTGATATGAGAAAGTGCAAGTGTAAATAGAGCTAAAAATGAGGCATAGATAATGTGAAATAGGGAGAAAATATCCAAAGGAGAAGGAAAGTGGTAGGTGTACGAGAAAGGAAAGAAGGAAAAAGGATAAATATAAGAAAATGAAAAATTGAAACAAATGCTTTTTAAGCAGGGAGTAGTGGAGGGGTTGAAAGGAGGGCAGGGGAATGGGAAAAAATCCAAAATATATCATGTAAATATACAAATTTCCAATGATGAATATCATCATATTGTATATCTAAAGTATACCAATAAACTTAATGAATAAAATAAAAAGTAATCACAATATAAACTTTGTAATTTTTAATAGTTTTGCTCATCGATTCATACAGAACAGTGATTCATTATCATTAAAGTTCTCAATTACTAAATTTCTTATACAAATTAAAAATCTTTCTCACCTAAATATTACTGCCTATTATTCGAAGTTGATGAAAATGAATGTTAACTTCCTTATAAACACATTTGTATTGAAATTTTAGACTGCCCCCCTAATTCAGGCTACAAGTGGCCCATATCATAAAGTAGGAAAATGCAAACCCAGATCAAATATTTCATAAATTGGGCTAGCTGTTGTTTAAAAGCATACATACAACTACAACAAATTTTATTTATTGAGGAAAAAAATTTAATGTTAACATTTCAATTTTGATTTACCTTATAAGGTCTCTGTAGATCTGGCTCCTGGTATCTCATTTTTAGTAAAGCAATCTTATTTATCACACTTAAAGCCCAAGATGCTATTCCTAGATATTTTAGTAAGTTGATTAAATTAGATGATATAACAGCAATAGATGACATAATGATTAACTGGATCAAAGCTACAGCTGGAGAGAGGTGCTTGTTAAGCATAGAGTAGATCATAGGCAATTGTTTCTCTTGGCTTGCAGCATAGATCAGCCTTGATCCTGTAAGTATTCCACAAGAAGTGCTGTCAGTCATTGAAGCTGAAATCCCCAGTGCAATGACCCATTTCATGGAAGGGAATACTCTGTCCATCCACGTGACAGCAACAGAATCTACAAACATTAAACAAAACTCAAAAAGTCACAGTCACTTTGGCTCTTTTGCAAATATGACAAAATTCATTCTTCCTAAATCTATAGCTTTTGTGATGTGAGTTGGCTGTTGCTTACAATTGAGAAAGATTCATTTTTCTCCTTGAATCTCTTTGTGCTTTGACCAATAAAATGGAAATAGTTGTTTATGAGTAGTTTTTATGTGGGATGAGGTACTCAGGCTCTAGAGAACTGTACTTGTAATCAGTCTTACTGTCCACATGAGGTTGACAATTATTTCAGGTTGCAGACATCCAGGAATATTGTGGGAGATGCAGAGTAGACTGCTGTGCAGAAGGGTGCAGTGGATGAGCTCAGAATGTTAGGCATGGAGTAGGACTTGGTTCACAAGCTGCTCTGGTTGGTTGAGTGGTGGCCATTTGGTCTGAAGGAAGGTGGTGTGGGAGTGTTGATGTGGTGGTTGCAGAACCTGTGAGAGTGAGGTTGGGAGGACAGGCAAGCAAAAATGACAGCAAAGTGTTGAAGCAGGGAAGTGGCCTGATTAAGTTTGTGTTTTATTAAGTTATCTGTAGATATTGAAAGGAAACTGGACTGGAAGAAGAGCATAAATTAAGAGGTTGTTCATGTAAACCAGGCAAGAACAAGGAGAGCTTGAACTACAACAGTAAGAGTGGGAATGATGAGAGGAAAATACTTGAAGAAATGTGAGAAAATAGAACTTGCAGACTGATTTCTAGGTGGAATATGAGGCAACTTATAATTTCTCCCCTCTTTTAACAATCTAAAGCATTGCCTTTAATGTATTTCAGTATTTCTGGGAGACCAAAAGTTGGGAATACATAATAGTAACACACATCGGTTTACTTTTTTGTGACTTGTACTTGTCTTTCTCTTTGAAATCAGTATAGCATTTTTATGCTAGTCTCTGGATAGATGCATAAAGGCTCCTTTTGATTTGGAATCATGTAAAATTATATATATTTTCACATCTGTCTGTGTCTGTACATGGTTATATTTCTCTGTGGCTACCTTTGTATCTACTATTTTCAGTTTGTGTTTTTACTGGTGTATGGATCGGAATATGGATTTTTAAATTAGAACTTTAGGGTTGAGTCTTATTTTGTCAATTATTATGTAACTTTGAATATAATTCTTGGTGGTATTTGAAAGACTATTTTTGAACATCTGATATTTTAAATTGTTTCTCATATTTATACACCATTATTACCAATAACCTGAAGGGGAAACAATTTTCATAAATGTAAGATATTGACTGATATTTGATTCTGAATCTAAACTCTGTCCATCTTTAGGTGGATGACAGTGAGTACATAATTGAATATCTGCAATTTCAGATTCTTCATCTAAGAAATGAGAATGGTATTGCCTATTTGAAACAGTTTCAATTAGAATAGGTATTTTATTTTATCCTAAATGATGAATCATCTAAGAAAATATTTCTTTCTTGGTGCCTTTTTCTTCCAGTTTCCCACCTCCTTTTCTCCACCTCAACTTCTTTCCTCTACTCTTCTTTTCCTACCTCCTTTTCTACACCTCATATTCCTTCTTCTGTCTTCCTCCCCCTCTCTGTTTCTGTTCATAGTATTTTACATTGTTCTTCTATCAGAACTTAGTATTTATCAAGTATTTATCTTTTGTAAATGATTGAGACATTTGCTTTTCCTTTGATTCTTTTTAAAGCTCAAAACATGAACATATTATGTTTGTATTACAAAAGGCATATCAAATAAATCTAGTTTAAAGGTATACTCATCTAAGTAGGTAGATGTGATGATTTCCCTCGTGTTCCCACACAATCATACCTGAAGAGATGATTTCCTTTGGTGTCAAAACTGTCAGGAAGGATACATTAGTCAATAAATATATCACAGTCACGATGGACAAGGCAGAAAGCACAGTTCTGGGAATTGTCTGACCAGGGTTTTTCACCTCCCCTAAAAAACACAAAGAAATTAATCACAGTGGAACATACTGTGGAAATTTTAGAAATTCCTTCTAATAAAAAGGACAAGAGCACAGTATTCCAGTGTCATTTTTGTCTCATGTTTATGGGCAGAGTCTGCTTTGGTCTAGGACATATTTTCTTAAAACTTTCCAGAGTCCCTTTGGTAATTTTTAGGAGAGACATTTGATTTTTCTACTGGTGAGTGGGTAGAATGTATGTCAGGGCAGGTGTTCTGCTGTCCCTAAGATTCCTTCGAATATTGTCAGATGTGTTACTGAGATTAATGTGTTGGTGCTGCTGAGACCGAGTGTAAATATTTACTGCAGAAGAAAGTGTAAAGAATGTGTAATGATGCTCAGGCATCAACACTGTCCTTTTAACATGCATATGAAGATGAAATTAACTGTTTGATTTGCACTTGGTCAGGAATATGATCAGAGCCGTACTAAAGGGTGACAGTTCTATCTAGGGACACTCTATTTTAACACACAGAACCGAATCTCTAAGCTTGGTGTTATAGGTTTGTATGTCAAATTCATGTAGTGTTGTTATGACAACTAGCTTCATCCAATGCAGTGACCCACAGAATCCTGCACTCATCTCATCTTTCTACTCCCAGGATTGATCTATCCTGAAATGAAGATGATCACAAAGTGTTAGTGCCTCCCAATCCAATTTTGTGAAAAAGAATTGTGTTTGAAATGGCAAATGAGAAATTCCATTTTTCAAGAATAACTGGAGGAGTAGTTTTTTCAGCATCTTTGAAGGAAGAATATCTTTTATCATTAATTTCTGAAAGAGAACTTCTTTTGAGTGTAGACTTTAAACAGCTAAGTGGGTTTTCAGGAAATGGAAAGAAAATACTAAACTCAGGTCATGGTAGTGTTGTTTTTAGTGAATAATAATGGAAGCAACACACAGATATATACAATGATCAAAAAGTCAGAATTAAATATACCTGTCAAAAATGAAACATGCACACACTAGGAAATTTTATATGCATTGTATTTCTGTTATCATAACACTAATATTTATAATAAAGTAATATAAATATCATTTATATATACTATATGTTATTTGTGTGTTCTTTTAATTTGATTGGCAGTATCTTTGTAGGAATGAGAGGAAAAAACTGCCTCAAAGATATATATATATACACACATAAAAATGCAAGTTTTTGTTAAAAAATTCTCATAAAGTTAAAAAGCAAGTAATCAAATGAGGAAAATATTTGTAGAAGTTGGCACAAAATGATAACATTTAACTAGATTTGTTAACATTGAGATCAATTTCACAGCACCAAAAAGATACTGGAGAAATGACATGCTGTTTAACAAATGATGCTAGGAAAATTGACTATCTACTTTTAAAAGATTAAAGCTAGATCCCAGTCACACTCCCCGTACTAAAATAAAATAAAATCAAGTAAAAATAGATCAAAGAGTTAGATATAAAACCAAATATTTAAAAACTGCTAGAAGAAAGTGTATGAGAAACACTTGAAGCCAGAAGCACAGAGACATCCAAACTAGAAAAGCAAAAGCAGATAGATCAAATATCAAGAATCAACAATTGGGATTACATCAAATTAGAAATTTCTCTACAGCAGGGGCGAAAACACAGTGAGGAGATACTACAGGATGGGAGCTAATCTGTGTCAGCTACTCTTCTGGTAGTTGACTAATGTCTGCATTATATAAAGAACTCAGAGTATTAACCCCTATGTGACTGTTTGGTGGACTGTAAACTTGACTGAGTTGGGACCTGCCAAAAGGATCAATAAAACATACTCCTAGAAGCTCTTTTTCCCACCTACCATGAACTAAGTAACTTTGCCATGCCATACCCTTCAGCCATGATGTTTGTGCCTTGAAGCCAGCACCTTACAGACAGAATCCCCTGACGGTATGAGCCAAAATAAACTTTCTCTCTTTTGAGTGGCAGATGTCAGGCATTTGTCTCCAAGACAGAAAGACTAATCAATACAGAAAAAACGTGTTAATCTCACCAGAGAAGTACAAATGTTTTTGTGATTAGAACTCACCATGTAGTTCAGAAGGCTGTAGTTTGTGGGAGAAAATTGAAAAGGTTTACGGATGACATGACACTTGCTGTATAAATGTGAGGTCAAAAAGTCCCCCTCCTGATAGGTGAGTGTTATGATTTATATCAATGTGTTCTCACTGAAGCCTTGTGTGCTTATAGGTGGGGCTTTCAGGAGGTGGTGGAACATGGGTATGATACTCATCAGTAGAAAATCCCATGGATGAGTTTATAGCTAAATGTTTTGTTGGGAAGTGAAACTTGTTTAGAGAAGGCGAGTCACTGCACTTGTGGTCTGCCAGGGTATATATCCTTCTCTCTTGCCCCAATCCCTCTCTGTGCTTTACATCACCACACCATGAGATGTTTCTCTTGCATTATGCTCCTCTGCCATGCTGCCCTGCTTGAAGCCAGCTCCCTATGGACTAAGCCCTGCACAAACTGAGGCAACAACAAACATGTTCTACTTTAAGTTGTGTGTCAGATATTGTGTCTCATTGATGAGAAAGTAACTATGTCATTGAGATGAGTCATGTCCCATTCAATCATAACTGCTGTCAATCTTCACCTGTGGATCCTTCAATAATAGCAGGACATAAAGAGACTCAGTCATGAGCTCTTCTCATAGGCCCATTCCTACCCCATGGAGTGTAGTTTTACATTTGCCTTTTAAATTTTTTTTTCATTCAGATTACTGATACTTTTTAGATATACAGTACAGTTACATTCATCACTGGACTCTTGTACCTTTATAGGACATAGCTTGGTTCTCATTTTTTCCCCATACACAGCCCTCCCTTCACCTCCTCCACCCTCCCCTATTTACACTTTGTTTCCATTTTCTCACACTTTTTCCTTTCCCTTATTCTCTTTCCCCTACCATTCCCACCTCCCCCACACCTTTAGCTCTTTTATTCCTATTTCACATTATCCGTTATACAATATGGATCTTATTTACACTCTTAGTTTCTCACACCAGAGAAATGATTTTGTATGTACATATGTGTTTCCTATTTATTTCACTTAAGAGTATGGCCTTGATATGCATCCATTTTCCTAGGAATGACTCTAGTTTCTCATTATTTATGGCTGAGTAGTACTCTATTTTATAGATAAACCACATCGTCTTTATCCAGTCTACAATTGATGGGCAATTGGGCTGTTTCCATGTTTTAGGTATTACAAACTGTGTCGCTATAAACATGGGTGTGCATACATCTTTGTGATATGATTTTTTTCATTCTTTTGAAGAGACACCCAGCAGAGTGATAGCTGGGTCAAACTGAATCTCTTGTCCTAGTTCTTTGAGGTATCTCCATATTGATTTGCACAGTGGTTGCACCAGTCTGCACTCCCACCAACAGTAGAGAAAGGTTTTTTTCTCTCTGCAGCCCTGCCAGCATTTGTTACTGGTTGATTTTTTGATAGTAGCCATTCTTTCTGGGGTAAGGTGGAATTTCAGTGTTGTTTTCATCTGCATCTCTCGAATGACCAGTAATGTTGAACATTTTTTCATATATTTATTTGCTGCTTTTACTTATTTGTCTGACAAATGTCTGTTCATTTCAGATGACCACTTTTAAATCAGGTCTTTATACATTGGGAGCCTGATTTTTTTTTAAGTTCTTCATATATTCTGTATAATAGTCTTTTGTCTGAGAAACATCTGGTAAATTTTTTTACTACATTATATGTTGTCCCTTAGCTCTGTTGGTGGTTTCTCTTGCAGTGCAGAAGCTTTTTAATGAGATGATTTTAATAAGATGATTCTTTGTGCTAGCTCCTATGCTATTGAGCATTTGTTCATAAAATCTTTTCCTATACCTATGTCTTCAAGAGTTCTATCTAACTTATCTAACCAGAAAGTTTTGTGTTTCTCTTTTAATATTTAGATCTTTAATCCACTTGCTTTTTAGTTTAGTACATGGTGAAATAAGGGTCTAGTTTTAATCTTTTGCAGATTGAAATCCAGTTTTTCCAACACCATTTATTAAAGAGGCTATCTTTCCTCCACTGAGGATGGTTGGCTCCTTTGTTAAAGATGAGGTGGCTGAGTACATCTGGAGTTGTTTCTGCATCTTCCAATCCATTCCACTGATCCTCAGGTCTTTTTTGTTGCCAGTACCATGCTGTTTTTATAACAGTAGCTTTGTAGTATAGTTTCAAATTGGGGATTGTGATCCCCTCTGCCATGCCTCTCTTGCCTATATTGCTTTTCTGATTCCAAATGAATTTTTGGATTGTTTTCACTTGAAATAGCCTCTTGGAATTTCAATTGGGATTGCATTAAATTTGTATAACAGTTTTCGAAGTATGGACATTTTCACTATGTTGATACTTCCTACCTCTAGGAGCAGGGGATATCTTTCCATTTCTTATATCCTCTTTGATCTCTTTATTTCAGAGTGCTGTAGTTTTCAGTGTAGTGGTCTTTTGCTTCCTTCGTTAGATTGATTCCTAGATATTTCTTTTTTGGAGGATGCTATTGTGAAATGAATTATTTCCTTCATTTCTCTCACAGTGATTCTGTTATTTATATACAAGCAGGCTATTGATTTTTGGGTGTTTACCTTCTATCCAGCTACTCTGCTGAAAGTGTCAATTAAATCTAGAAGTCTTTTGGCAGAGTTTTTTTCAGTCTTCTACATAAAGTATCATATCAACAGCAAATAATGACAGTTTAATTTCTTCCTCTCCTATTTTTATTGCTTTAATTTCTTTTTCATATCTAATTGCTGTGGCTAATGTTACCAGAACCATATTGAACAAGAGTGGTGACAGTGGACATTCTTGTCTTGTTCCTTATTTTAGCTTGGAAGTTTTCAATTTTTGGCTACTTAATATGATGTTGGCTATTGGCTTTTCATAGATGGACTTTATGAAGTTGAGTTAAAGACTATCCCAATTTTCTGCACAGTTTTTATCATGAATGGGTGTTGAATTTTG